TGATGTCTAAAAACACTTAATTACAAAATGTCTTATTTACAGATGCGTTATTTATTAATTCAGTTAGAGTTGATTGACCCACATTATTTAAAAACAAAGTCCATGCGTTTATGATGGATGACGAGGCTGCAGACGTGACCAAACAAATATTTTTTCAGGAAGTAAAAGTAAATACTAAATAATGAAAAAAAAAGGAAAGGGTTATCGATTACATTCAAATTCTTTTTGAAGTGGAATATGCCAGTTGTGAAGTTGGGTATTTACTCTTTAATCTTTTTCTCATCTTATGATTAGATAAGACGCTAATGTGATAGTGGTGAGGTTTCAAGGATAGAGTTTATGTTAGAAAAACGGAGTTAAGTATAAAATTGGTTTAAGATTTTGGTAATTGAGGATATAAAAGAATTTTATCTTTCAAAAATTCATTTTACTTTACGAATAATTTGAATGTTAGAATCAAGGCGGAAGAAAGAGAGTGGGAGGACCGCTACTAAGATCTTCACTAAGAAACGTAGTATCGATACTATCCTACCAAAGTATTAATGTTTTATACAGGGCCGGATTTAAGCTTGGTGGGGCCCTAAGCTATTGAAAATGATGGGGCCCTTATAAGTTAAATTCCATTTCTATACACCTAAAATAACTGTCACTATTTTTTATTGTTGAGTATTAACATTATATTATTAAAAAAATTGATAATATTACTTTACTGTTAAATATATTAATTGCGATGAGATTATTATGTAGAACCTTTCTTTTATTGCACATATGTCTTTTGAACGAGGGGAAAAAGTTACAAGAGAAANTTTTTTTTTTTTTTTTTTTTTTTTTTTTTTTTTTTTTTTTTTTTTTTTTTTTTTTTTTTTTTTTTAGATATTTTAAATTGCTATTTAAAACTGCTGCATGTCACATGAAAGCATTAAATATATTATTTGTACAATTTTAACGTAAAATAAAAGGGAATTCTGATCCTTAGAAACAGATATTAAATAGTCTGATGATCGAATGATGGAGCAAAAAAAACTTTTTCACCTTTTAAACTAAAAAAAAATTTTTTTTAAATAATTTATTAATACTCAAATTGCTTGAAAGATGATATGTTCCCTACTAAAGACAACTAAGTTTTTTGTTTTATTCAGGATTTTTATTTATATTTATTATGTCCGACAATGTAAAAAAGAAAAAAAAAGTGCATTTTGGGCTTATGAGGGCCCCAGCTCCGATTAAAACTTTAAAAAAAGTGGGGGGAAAGTAGGATCAGGGGCTCTTGTCATCTCGGGGCCCCAAGCTACAGTTTATTTAGCTTATACGTAAATCCGGCCTTGGTTTTATAGTATTGTTATTTTTTCACCGATTAATGTTTTTACATTGACGCCCGGTGGCTGAGCGGTAGCGCTTCGCGCTGTCGTGCCACAGGTCCCTGGTTCGATTCTGGGGCCGGGCAAGGTTGGCTCAGCCTTTCATCCCTTCAGTGGGTCGATAAATGAATACCAAGCATGCTTGGGAACTAAACACTGGGGGTTCCGCGTTCGGCTGACCACCTGACCGGAACATCTGCGCCTGCACACCAGAGCCCAAGGTCAAGAAAACTGAGATGGGCACAGTAGGCCTTGGCCCTCTATGGGCTGTCGTGCCACTGAGTTTAGTTTTAATGTTTTTACATCATATATATTACTGACACTTATTTGTGCTTCGGTAGCCTTATTTGACAATTGTATATATATANTTAATATAATGACTTATATATATATATATATATATATATATATATATATAATAAAATTTCTACTAGATACTAATCGTTTCGCTAAACCTGAATTACGTGGAGTGAAAAAAGAAAAGAAAGAAGGCACTGTAACTTTAGCATAAAATAATTTAGAAACTAATGACTGCAACACTAACATTTTCATATCAAAATTCTTATTAAATAATTCTCTTAAAACTTGCATAATGTTCTATTTTTTTATCCAATATTATTTGAGTTAGATACGTGAGCAGCCAAAATTTGGTGATGAGCAGCGATGGGGGTTGTATCTTTTTTTTTCAGAGAAAATGAAAATTAGATAATTTTTTTTAAAACTAGATGCAGTGCTTTTACGAACTGAAAAAAAAAAAGAAGGCAGAACCTCAACCTTTTCTTTTCAGGTAAATTCATTAACAATATATAATAATTTAAAAAAAAGCGTTTTTTAACAGCTGACTACTGTTTGCATACTATTTTTTTGAAAAATGAAGATAAATTATTGTTTCTTATTTATTCGTGTAATGAAAAGTAAATGCATACATGTACAACCCAAAAAATACAACAGGTTGAGTTGTTTTTTAAATGAACAAGATATTCTGGAATTACTATTTTATTTTGATGCTCATACTCATTCCCTCCCGCTAATTTTAAGAAAATTGTCTTTTCTGAAAAGATAAAAGCGAAAAAAATTGTTTTAAAAAGTTGCTAATATTATTCTTCAACTTTAGTACAATTTCAAAAATATTGTAATACCAGAAAAATGCTCGATATGCCTTATTTTGTTAAAAAGCAAATATTAAAAATAGAAAATTGCAAAAAGATTTCAAAATTGTGCTATTTTTAGAACCATCACCTCAAAAAATATTTTTTTTTCTTCTAACTTTTAGGTTTTTTTTTTCAATACTAAAATATGTTTTATTAAGACATTTTTAGACTACAACTTATTTTAGAACTGTAATTTGCAAGTTCAGAAAATAGTTTTCGCATATTTTTTATCTTTACAGAAATTATAAATAGACGAATTTTTTAAAAAATATTCTCGTAAGGAGACAAAAAATAATAATAATAGTATTTAACATTTCATTGATGATCAATGGAACCGATTTCATTAACCCCATAGTTGAAATTTGCTTGCACTAAACATTTTATTGCTTGAAACAGTTAGAAACAATTAAACTGCTATTTATTTAAACTGATTCCGTTATATTATTGCGAGCGGCAGAAAGGGTGATGAATAACGGTTTACCTTTACTCTTTTTATGTATTAAATCATATAGTTGTAAGCAAAGAAAAAAATGAAGGGTTCACAAAGAAAACAATCGAAATATGCTTCGAAGTATACGCTAAAATATTTATAAATTTTGGATCGAAAAATAAAAAATACATTTTCATAAAATTTCGAGTGTAATGGTTAATTTGTTCGATATAATTAGCCTTGTTATCTTTGATTCGTGGGAAGGAAGAAGGGGGTCTTATTCGTACTTCAATCGTAGTCGGAATGGATTGACATCCTTTAAAAAATGCTTTTAAGGTTATAAAAAAGAAAAGAAAATGTACTGCATTGATTTTTTAGGTAGTTATTACTAATTTTATATTATTATTTTTTTCAATCTAAAAGCCATAATCATTATCTTACGTATAACTTATTTTAATACCGCGTTCAGTATTTTAATTTAAGATACTGTGTAACTAGCGCTTAAAAATTGATGTCAAGTCATTCGTGAATGGCGAGCTTTGAGAACGGACACTTCTTTTTAAGCGCTTGGAACATGCAAACTTTTATTAACATCTTCATTTTTTTTAAAACCAATATTGCGTGTGCTCAAAAATAAGCACCCATTCTCAATATTCGCCAAACGTGAGTGAGGAAAACGAAAGTAATCTGAAATTTTTTTTTGAAGTTTCTAAAGAAAAACTGAAAATAAAAGTGAAAAACAAAATTAAAAAAAACCATGGTAGCTGAGAGTGAAACACAGAATAAATGCGTTGTCAGTGCAATCTTGGCAACACCGGACTAAACAGCTGCGCTTTAAAATTTTAACTAAAGAAACATGGTACATAAGTCCGTTATCAAGAATGCGATAAATCATTGCCCTATCGTCTATTATTGGTGTATTACGCCAAAATATATAAAGCTTCATAGCACCCAAATTTATGGCCCAATTTTTTCGAAATTTCGTCTACTTCCGATATTTTGAGGGTCAGGAATCCAAATATGTAAAAAATATATATATGTATGTTTACTTAGAGAAAATACGCTTTTGTGTCTGATTATGTAACTTAATTAATAGTTAGCATTAATCAATTACCATATTTCAGATCACCCCTTGAACCGTTAAGATTCACACTTAGTACATGAAAATTGGATCATTAAAACGAAAGTTATTTAGGGTGATATCTTTTTAATTTTGCGCAAAGTATGTTGCGTCTTTTTTGCAGGGTGTCAATTATAAATAACAATAATCGATTTAAAGCAACAGATACGTAGTTAAATTTATCTGAAAATTAACCCAAGTATTCCAGAAATAAAGTTTTATTGTACTAAAGATGTAATATTTTTAAATAACCATAAACTTTTATTATATACAAATATATAAACATAAACATTAAAATTTATTCCTTTACATTAAAGGAATTACATTGGAGTAATACCTTTTATAAACGACACAAACATTTGGATCTCTTTTTTCTTAATGTCATGAGTATGAAAATAATTACATGTTTTCTTAAATTAAAAAATTACTCTTAACAAGTTTTAAAAATTCATGTGAAGAAATTCAGACTCAGAAGAATTAATTAATGGAATAAGGGTTGACAACGTAAAACCTAAGAATAGTAATACAGTAACTAAACTTTCACCCTCTTTAATGACAAAACTAGGGTTAGTTAATCTATTTAAATACCGAAACTAATAATACAAAAATAGGAAATAAACATATATTTGGTGTCAAATTATAAAACTTAAAAAATAGATTTTTGTCCTAAATTTAATATTTTATGAATGCATTATTAATTATTAGGCAACATCTGACTTTATTAAAATTTCAAAAAACATTCAAAGAATAATATTTTGTTTTTATCTGTCATACATAGATTAAAAATAAAAACTTAATCAAGAACATAATTTTAGATTGAAAATATAACCACTTCAAAATTATTCGATAACATGTTTCAGAACAAACATTATTAATATTAGATAAAGTATTCAAAAAAAAAAAAATTGTTTTAAATAAAGTTAGTAATAACACAATCTACAAACTTATAAAAGGCAGTTTATTGTGAATTTGATAAATATACACACAGTAATACCATAACAAGGTGAGTTATATAAAAAATAGTGTCAACAATAATAGAAGTATATTTAATTTCTGTTTTTTCTCATTGCACTTATTTTACGCACAACTTGAATAGGTTTATTCTTTGCTTCTAATTCATATTTATCTGGTGCAGCTTTTAAAAGTGACAACAAATTTTGTAAATTAGTTGATGGAATTAACCCCAAGTCATCCAATACATCACAGAAATAACCTGAAATCAAAACAAAAATTTCGATTTTTTAGAACAAAATGTTTATAGATAATTTACTCCAAAATAATAGTTGAAATTACAATGTTTCATACACAATTTTTGTGCCCAATATCTTTTAACTGCTCTAATTTTTTCAAATTTATTCATAGATAGTGTTTGCTTAAAGAAAAAAAAAAACAATCTCTTTAAATCTAACACACAATACATAAGGTAATATAAGGAAATTTTTAAAAAAAAGCTATTAGCTAAACAGGTTTAGATGTTATAAAATTCAGAGAAATGTTGCTTTCACTTAAATAAAGAAGGCATTGCAACTTTGGCATAAATAACTCAAAACCTAATGACCACAAAGAGGGGAAAGTAGACAGCTCAACATCAATGTTATAGAATGTGAAATTTTGAAAAAGTTTAAATTTTCAAATTAAGAACCTGTTATAGCAAGTTGCAAGTTTAATTTATTTTCTTCTAACTAGACTTAAATTAAGTAGGTTTTTTTTTAAAAAAAATATGTTTTAAAAATTGTTTCCTGTTGCTTTTATATAAATTGATTAACTCAAATTCTCTGAAATGTTATATAATACATTTTTTTTTACTATTTTACATTAACACCAATTTCAATTAACAACTTTTCAATTTTACAAAAATGTCAGACATTTTAATTTTTTTTAATTCTATACTATGACGCACAATTCAAAGCTAAAACAATATAGTTATCATCAAATATTTAGTTGAACTACACAATAACTAACAATTTAAAAATTCAATTCTCCCAAAGTTTCAAAGTTATTTTAAAAATTCATCAACAGATTGTGCTACTGATTAGCAAAAGCAATGTAACAATTCTGTATGTCAGGCCATTCAATTGAAATATTTGCATGAGAATTTATGAATTTTGTCCTAAGATTGCACAACGTTATTTCCACAAATGATGGTTATTTTGTAAACATATTGTTATGTAGTTTTCATCACTTAGCAGCACCATCTGTTGACACTCCTTGTAACTGAGTCTGAAATTTGGCTAGAAGAATTTTGTTTCTGAAACACATATTTTTTTACCAGTAAACCATATATTTTTATTTCCTTCCGTTTATCTTTAATTGATTTCTCAAATTGACAGTCATTTTTAAACTGTACTTACTGTAAAACTATACTTACTTATATCAGTCACTAACTGGTTGGTGGCATTATTTGTAATGTGAGATATCATCAATATGTTATTACAGTAGCAATCAGTAATTTTTCGAGCTAAGCATTCTAATAAATAATCAGCCACATTGCTGGAACCATCTAAAATAGTCACAGAATTTTAAAAATAGATTACGTAAAGTCACAAAACAAATATTGATACATTAAAATTCATATCATTAATCATTTTATCAGTTAATTAGTTTCATTTAAAAAATATATATTTATATATGACTAATTGATTACAAATTTCAAAAAAAAAATAATATTAAAAGATTTATAGTGTAATCAAATAACAAGCATCAATAATACATGATTGATCAAAGTTCAATGTTAAATTAAAAAGAAGTCCACATCTAAAAATGATTAAGTACTGAATGTAAAACTAACTTGTATTATTTAAATTAACAAAAGGCATGATTTTCTAATAAAAAAACTGATTTTTAAAATATTTTGTATGCTTCTATTTCATGTAAATTTTGGTGGTCGCTGTGATAAAAATATGTTTCAATGTGTAATCTAAAACTAATTCCAATTTTTACTTTAACAGCGGTATTTTTTTTTTCCTAACAAAAAAATGATTTTTTTTTGCATGCTTCTGTAGGATACAAATGTCACTATTGGCTATATCATCATCAACCGGCTTGTATTTAACTCTTTGTTTCTATGTGATAAAAATATGTTTCAATGTGTAATCTAAAAATAATTCCTATTTTTACTTTAACAGCGGTATTTTTTTTTTCCTAACAAAAAACGGATTTTTTTTGCATGCTTCTGTAGAATACAAATGTCACTATTGGCTATATTATCATCAACCGGCTTATATTTAACTCTTTGTCTCTATGAAACAAGAGGAGAAAAACAGTTTTAATTGCGTATACAAACATGAAAGTGGGAATTATTTTTTTACTTTTTTAAATGCTTTAGCTTTATTATTTTAGTTTCAAATTTTGTTATTCGACATTTGCAGCCTCTCATACATAACAAATCAAAGAACAATTAAAAAAAATTTTTAACACATTTTGATTTTAATTTATTTATAAATTTAAGCAACTTAAAATTGTTTAGAGAAATAAGCAATTTCAAAGTTAATTCATAATTTACATTTGTATTAAATACTGAAATTTAAACTGAAATGATATTAATAAAAATAAAATTAAAATTTTATAAAAGTAATATTTCTGAATTTCCATTAAATAAAATATGCAGTATTTTATCAGTAATGCACTTCAATATAAAGGTATCTAAAAACAATGTAATTTGTCTGTCACAAACAGTATCTTTTTAATCATAACTATTCATAGAATTTCTTTTATTAGCTATTTATATAAAATAGTTTCTACGGTGACATACAAAATATAGTCTTGCTTAAATTAATTTCTGTACAAAGTAATGCTCTTTTTTTTAAATTATCTATAACTGTTGTAAGGGATTTATCCTTTCAAAAATCATGATGAAAAAGATCTTCACATATTCATGTTATTTGTGATAATCACATGCAATTAATTGTCCTCTTTTAAAAAGGGCATGTTACATAGCATGGATAAACAATTATTTACCTTGTTCTGAAACATGAGCAATATTACTATTTTTCAGAGCTATATGCAAGGCTGGATTATCTCTTAGTATAAAAGGCTCAATATGTTGTGGTATGGTCATCAAATACTGGCCAACCTACATAAAAATACAAAGAGCAAAATGTTCAATTATACAACAAAGTTTTTTGGGAGAAATAAGAATTGCTGTCTGCGTGAACATCACAAAGACTGACTTTATTTGTTTCTTTTTATTTGTATGTTTTTTATTTGTTTAACTTTATCTAATGTTGTTTCCTAAGCTGATGCACTTAATCCTGCATCAATCTTGATTTTTTATGGTCTCTGAAAAATAAAAAATCCTACGAAGCTAGATTCTCAAAATAAAATAAATATAAAATGTTCTAAATGATACTTTAATTATTGTCAGACACAACCATTGATGAGTGCATAGAAGGGAAAAAAAATTTCAACTTTGAAAACTATGTTAATTCCAGGGCATAACTTTACTGAAACATCCCTGCTAAGCACTATTTTTCGGTTGACAGGGTATCCGCGCACATGGAAAGTCATGAAATGTCATGATTTTAACTATTTTTATAAAAAATCATGAAAAGTCATGGATTTAGGTAGCCGAAAAATATAATTTTTAAAATGGAATTTACCCCCTTCCCCCCAATTTCACGGTGTTCCGAAAATCTGAATTTGTAACAAAATCCCCACTCACAGTCATATTTGATTAAAATATAAAATGTTTTTTTTTTCGTGTTCTTTAAAAATTATGGTGATCCTTCAAAAAATGAAAGTAAAAACATTTCTAGAGCGAATTATCTTTTAAACTTCTGTGATTTCAGAATTTTTGTTATTATTTATTTTTTTATTTTATCAATTTAAAATTCTAGCTGCAGCAAGCCAGTCATTGGTGAATTTTTTCATTTTTTATTCCAAAATATGAACAGAAAAATCAGGAGTATTTCTTTCCCTTCCGATGAACAAGAAAAGTATCTTTAGAATGTAATTCTGCAGAAAAAAAAGTAAAAAAAAAAATAATATTTGCTTTTGTATTTTGTCAACTATTTTATAACTCTTTCTTTACTCTGTTTTTAAAATTTAAAATCTATAAATATGAAGATGCAGAGTATAACAGTTTTGGTTATACCTATCATTTCAATAAATGTTATTATAATGTTTTTTTAAATTTATTGGCGTGTTTTTGTCGGAGAAAATAGTCTTCTTCTTCTTCATCCTTATCCCCAAAATTAGCAAGGCTAAACAATGTCCATGAAATTCATGTCCCGGAGGAAGTCGGCCACCAAAAGTGGGTTATTTAGTATGTCCCTTTTGTCCAGACCAAGACAGTCCAGGATATGCTGTGGAGAAGCCTGCATGTTGTGGCCCCTGGGGCAGTTTGGGAAGATTTTAACACTACCCTCGAAAGAAAGGGACTTAAGGTGGTCGCTGATAAGCCTGGTAAGTGCCGTCTGGTTCTTGCGGTTGCACCGAATGTTGAGTGCACCTCCTGGACGGGTGCTCTGGTACCAGTGATGTTTGGGGGGTATGAGCATAGCCNATTTAATGAAGAACAAATATTTGAAATTGGCGGCTAATCGCATATCCCCACAGTATGTGACGTCACTAAAAGACCTTGATGATCTCAGCGGCCTTATTTCTCGGTGGCTATGGTATGAGCCAGGAAATATTGTCTTCTTTTTTCTTTTTTGATGCCAGTTCCATGAAGAGTGAATTTGGACTCATCAAAGTTTCTTCTGTCCCCTCCTTAGCCAGAGTGTCGACGATATCATTGCCCAGAACTCAAATGTGAGAAGGGATCCGTTGGAGGTGGACTTCACGCAATCGCGAGAGGATTTTAAGTTTGTGCAGGATTGAAGCTCCTGTTTTGTCTCTTACCTTCCTCCAATGCGATAAGTACTGTATGGAACTGAGACTGTCAGAGAGTATCCAGATGTTATTGTGATCCTGTAGTGTTAGAAGAGAGTCCAGGGCAGTATCAATAGCAATAAGTTCACTTCTAAAAACTGAGCAGTAATCAGCATTCCTTTTAGAGATGGAGAAAATAGTAACTTCGTTAAGTCATGAAAAATTCTTGGAATTAATCATGGAAAGTCATGAGTTTGAAAATCTAAAATGTAGCAGATACCCTGGGTTGAGTAAAATGAAGAAAACTGGTTTTGTAGTCAGGAAAGCCTACATTCAGATTAAAATTCATAAAAATCCGGAAGTAATGTAAGTTTTGTAATTAGCTTTTCCATAAGAGATGCCATCCATATTACCTAGTTGATAAATCAGTCTCACAACTATACTAGGATGCTATAACTTTTTTGCAGATATTTTTTTGCTGTGGGTGCAATCACTCTTCTTTTCCTGATCGGATTTGCATATTATTTGGCCTCAGGTTAATAATCACTGCATGTCTTACAGACATTGTAAACTGCATGTCTTCAAATCCTTCGAAATTTGTACATGCTCACATTCTTTTATAGTTGTCAGCAAACAAGACAACCATCACGCAAAAAATTTTTAACGTGCAAATGTTCATGCCGTTTGGTTATTCGACATTTCAGTGTGTTCCATTTCCCAACATTTTAAAACTGTATGCATATATTAACCAATTTAAGTTTCTTTGCTATTTTTTAAGAGTTTACATCTCCAAGAAATGATGAACGTGAAAATTTATGCATCAGTTGATTTAATGTAACAACTGTAAAATATTTGGTGGTTGGAAGACATTTGTAATTTGTTTTAATTGAAGAATGAGAGTTTCAGCTTTTGTGCCAAGTTTCCTTTTTAAAAAAAAATCTTTCCATTTATTATTTTTTTAAACTTAATTTTCAATCACTTAAAAAGATCGTACAAATTGTATAAAAAAAAAGAGAGAGGAGAAAAAGAAATATGCAATACATTAGTCCTTAATTTATAATTGCTGACAGAATAAAAAATAACAAAAATATTTCAATTAGATGAGCACCACTTTTTAGTTTTGCACATAATCATCAAGCAGCCGTTCTAATAAAATAATAATAAAAAAATTAAGAAAAAAGGTATAAAAATTCTGTCTACCAGGTAATTTTCAATTTTAAAATAACAAATGCTTTCTCTACGTACCTCAGTAATGTATTCTTGCGGAGATAAGCTAAACTGTGGCAAATCAGTTACAACTGAACCAATAGTTTCTTCATTCCAAATCTGAAAAAAAGAATTACATTATTTAAAAAATACACATAAACCAATAAAAACAACTATATATATATATATAATTATCTTTCATTTTCAAGATTATACTATTTTATTAAATGATATTTACCCTGAGGAATGTGGTATTGCTTTTATGATGTTTTGCTACTTTTATCTTTGCTGCACTGCTATAGTTACTTTAAGTTTTAGTTTCTTTTTCATAAGTTTTCACCTGCCCTTAAATAATTTAACCAAAAATAAAAATAAAAAAGAAATAGCAAGTATAGCCCTACTTATTTTGTGATGGTGGTAACAGCCAATAAGAGTTGAGTATGCTTTGGGGGCTTGGTTAGAGGAGGTGAGAGAAAAGGCAAGGACACACATGGTTTTGGAGAGATGAGGTTAAGATACAAAATATGAGGATCCTCAACAGCTAAGTTATATTATAAAATTTTCTATCACCCCATAATTATTTTTTATTTATTTATTAAGTAGCAGTGCAGCTTCATAATGTATAATTTCATGTTAAATTTTTTATGTACCTATTATTAATTGGAGTGTATGCCTTCCTGGAACAAAATTTGTAACTCTAAATATCTTAAATGATCTATATTAAATAAATAGTTTTAACACCTTGCAATTAGTGATCATTCTAATGATCTTGTTCTCTTACTTAAGAGTATATTATTTTTAATTGTTATTCATTTTTATTCTTATCTTAATGTGTGTGGTGATGAACTGAACATCACCACAT